GAAAAATGAAACTATGTAATGAGGACATCAAATTGCACCACTGTGACCTTTTGGGAATAAGCTTTTAGGAGAAGTAAATAGACTTACAGTCATTTCCTATAAATTGTGAATTTGCTGGCAATTACCTTGAAAGCACTAACATGCATGCTAATTAAAAGTGAGTCATCTCACTGCAAGATTTGGAACTTGGAACAAATACTGGCCTAAACTGGGAACATGGCTATTTTGGGAACTTTGGACTAAAATCTAATGCTGTAATAGTATGTTGACAATGACCTTTCTAATATTATTTAGATCTTTTAATTATTTTCCAAGAAAGAATAAATTACCAAGGATGAAGAACTTCTATTCTTAATGGCCTATAGTATGAAAATGTAACATTAAACATAAAACAGAATTCTCCTATTTAACTTCTACTGAATGTTTTCCTTGATTTGAAGCTGACTTTCGTTTTGAAGAGTATGAATTCAATAAGTAGGCATTATTATCCATGATAATGTATGGGAGCAAATGTTCGTGGCCTGACCAGCCTAGAGATACAAATGAGGGCATGTTAGCACCCAAATTATGCTGCTTTCCCCGCCCCCCTCACTTGCACTTGCAGGGCCTCAGTAGTCCTCACTTGAATCTGCCCGCTTTGTTTCTGAGAGTGTCTGCTACCTGCCAAGCACCATAAGAGACACTGGAGCCTTTCAGAGATACGATGGAGGAATGTGGATGAGCTCTGGGAATGTCAAGTCAGCATAGGGGTCTAGGAAGATCTATTTGGAATTATTGATACTTGAAACATTTTCAGGCATGATCATAAGCTTCATTCATTATAGAATGTAATCTATCTATGAAAGATCCTTCTGTTAATTTTTTCTTATTTCCCTTTTCTCACCCTTTTCCCTTCCCCTCTTTAGGTATCATTGTAAAGTCCATGCTGTTCTTTAGGCATGTGATTTTAATTTGTGCAAGCAGCACAACAGTGGAAAATCAATATCCTTTAGTTTGATCTCATAACTATTTTTAAGATCAAACCATGTTGTTGATATGTATCCATAGCATGTATGAATCCACCTCATTTTATGGGTGATGAACTTTGGGTTTCTCTAACCCCCAGCCCCATCCCATGCTACCATGGATAGCATTTCAATAACCCTCCTTAGCCAGAATGTTTATGGATGCTTTTGAGGAAACTGTCAGTGCCATGTACCTAGAAGGGTAACCACTGGGTCCTAAGGCTTTCTTAATTACACGAGCCATTAACGAGTTTGAAGGTTGAACAAAATTCCCTAAAATAAAGGCACAGGAAAGGCTATTCCAGCTGGCAAAACAGCAAGGGCAAAAGAGTGAACAAGGGCCATATAGTGGTAGAATCTTGGATTCTAAGTCATTAGAAACAAGGGAAAGAGGAGCCTGGGGTGTGGTGATGGAGAACTAGAAAGGTCTCAAGACCAGATCTTCGAGGGTCTTCTACGTCCTTATGCTAAGCCAAGAGGTTTAAATGCTGAGCCATTAACAAGTGTTAAGATAAAAACCATCATTAAATTTACAGAGCAGGTATTCTGCCTTCCTGAATCTTAATAAAAGTATGTATGAGGATACACAAATGTGGCTCAAACATCCGAGACAGTGCATCCTTTCCAGAGGAGGCATCTAGCAGCTTATCTGTGTCTGCCACACCCACACTGTGCTCGGAAAAGTGCTGGGTAGTGTGGGGCCTGATGGCGACGCCTCCATGGCAATTCCTCCCAGTCTAATTGGGCTTCAAGTGGGAGGACTGGAACAGAGAGGATGGAAAGGAAAGGAAAGGTGCTTGTAAGAGGGCACAAAAGAAGTGTTGAGGAGAGGCTAATGCTCTGTTCTTAGAGCAAGAACCAAAAATAGTAGAGGCAGAAGCGACATCCAGAAGGTTCAGTGATGAAAGGGGCTTTCTATGTGTGGCAACAGAGCTACTCAAACCCTGTGTATACTAATGAGGAAAATGATATGTATAATCCAGACGTTATGACACTACTATTCCTCACTTTCATCTGCCCTTCCTCAGAATCTTCGGTTGCTGCTTTTATTTCTGGCAATAACATAAAACCAAAAACCAAGGGGATTAAAAAAAGACACTATGGGCCAGACTATCTCAGTGATTTTGTGATTTGCACTTTTTTTTTTTTTTTTTTTTTTTTTTAGTAATACAAGCAGAAATATCTCCCTAGAGGAATCATGCCTCCCTCTGGCTTCCGGGACACTATGCTCTGTAGATCTCCTCTCTTTCTGACTGTGCCTTTGCTGGCTCGACACCTTCCTTCAGAGGACTCCGAGTCCCAGCCTTACAGTCTGTGTCTGGGCCAAAGAAGCCAAATCTCTCACTCTGAGATGCCAGAGCCCCTCTTCAGCCTGGACTGCCCAGCTCCCCTCAGATTTATTTACTTAGATCTCTCTTGGATGGCACCTCAAGCTCAATATGTCAAAGAGAAGCACACATCTTTTCTTCACACCCCTCCCTAAGACAGCATTTTCTCACCACAGCTTTCCTTGTTCCAATCTTGGAGTTACGTAACTAACAGATGCCTCTTCATTCCATCCAAGCCGGCAGCCAGAAAATCTCAGGGATCCTTTTTTGCAGCAAGAATCAGCTCTTTCCTTTTCCACAGTCACCAACAAGACTAAGCACCTGATACTTCTGCACTGGTGTCAAAGTTTCCTAATTAGTTATTTACTTCCATGGTTTTTCCACCATGCAGGCTACCCTGCTGAGCCCTGGTTCTAATAATTTAATGGTATTGTACTGATTATGAACATAGAATGATTTGTTAAAGATGAATTCCAAACGACTTTAAAGTTTATTAACTACTCCTAGTTTATCTGTTGTGTTTTCATGCTCTTGAATAGATACAGGCATCCTTGAGTATATTCAGGGGCCTGGATTTAGGATCTCCCACATACACCCAAATCCTTGAATGTTCAAGTCCCTTACATAAAGTGACATAATCCTAAGTACATACATTGTTTACTGTATATAACCTACACATTGCCCTTACAGTTTAATCAGCTTTAGATTAGTACAAATACAATGTAAATGCTATGCAAGTAGTTCTCATATTGTATTGATTAGTGAATAATGAGAAAAAGGTCTGTACATGCTCAGTACAGGTAAGTTTTTTTCCTCAAACATTTGGTTGAGTCCAAGGAACTCACAGATACAGAGGGCCAACTGTATGTACATTATCTACACAGTTATTGAGTTAATATGCTCCAGCCCCTACTGCCTGTCAGGTGAGGAGCTATGTATCATGATGTACATATATATTCTTATACGTATGAACAGAATATAGTTGTTACCATTTTCTGAGAAGCATATAGTACTGTAGTAGAATACAAGCACTTACGACAATTTAATATTCAAAGGGAAAAGTGCTATCGTCGTGCAAATTGATACCACAAAAGTCCTGGGGAGACAACGGAGGGCAGAATAAAAAATTATAGCAGATAAAAATATGCAGTAGTGTGCTAATGCTCAAGTACACTGTGAGTCAAGTACTTGTTAGTGCGGCTTTCACCATTAGCAAAGAAGAGTTTCTTTCATAGCTATCGAACATATTCTGTTCTCCACAGAGTCTATGACCCACTCTCTATTGCGGCCCACCCTCTTCCTAGCCTCTGTAAGGGATCCCCACCCAGGTCTTTGCTGATGCAAACTCTACTTTCCCCCAAGCCCCTCCTGGTTCTCACCTAGCTCTGTATGGTGTCCTCCAGGTACTGCACAATCTTCTTAACCAGATGCTGGTACTACTCTGTAGGACCCAGGTTCTCACATTTAAATGTGTATTTAAATCCCCACTTGTGGTTCAGTAGGTTTACCTCAGGCCTAGGATTCTGCTTGTTACCACATCCTCATGTCAGTTGGGCACAAAAGGATCCTGAACCACTTTGAGAAACGTTGTGAGCTCTCTGCAGCTGGCTTCTATTTTCCCTTAGGTCTGTGTACAGCTCACTATGCCTAGCAAAGGATATGTATACACAGTTGGATGCTCTGGCTTCAGTGTTTTTCAGCTCTGCGATTAAGTCAGGAATAGAGGCTCTGCTAGGTGCTCTAGACTGCCCTCTCTGGAGGGGACTAACTCCTTTTGTTTGTTTTTTGACACAGGGTTTCATTTTGTAGTTCAGGCTGGCCTCGAACTCACAGCGATTCTCCTGCCTCAGCCCCCGGGGTGCTGGGATTACAGGCATGCGCCCCCACGCCCGGCAGGAGACTAACTTGTGAAAGTCACTTGAAGATCAAGAGGAAATGACATTCCTATTAAAAATACAAAAAACTAAAAGCTCAGCTATGGCCCCAAATGACCTTACAGTGCGGCTCAAATAACGATTACAGACACTGACAGAACTCGCTACAGGCTGAACAGCATGTAAGAGAAAAAGCCATTACCCTTACACTCACAATCCTAAAGGTATATAGTCTAATAGGTACGAATAAAAACGAACGACACTCAAGTCACCAGGGTTGGAAAAGTAAAAGGAATTCAAGGCCGTGGCGACAGGGTGTCCCTTCACCAGCCCACGCAAGCTTAGGCTCTGGGGACCCCGGCCGTCCCTCCGCCGGGGGCGGGGCCTGGAGGACGGCAACGCGCTGGCGTCACGAGCGTGGGCACGCCCAACGCGACGTGCGGCCCGGAGCGCGGCTGTCGGGGGCAGCTGTAGCTGCCTTCGTCGTGTGAGCTGGGGTTTGCGCCCGCCTCCTCAGCGCTCCTCCTTGGTCTTCGTCTGGGCCTCGGCGGCCCACCGGCGGCTGTCATGGTGCCCTCGGCGCGCCCTGCGCGGCCCCGCTGAGCCTGGCGCCGCGGCGAGCGCGGCTCGGGGTCACCATGCCTACCCGTGAGTGGCCGGCCGGGCCGGCGGGGCGTTGGGAGGCGGTGGCCCGGGGCGGCGGGCGAGGAGAGCCAGGAAGTGCTCGCGAGCGGCTGCTTTACTTCCGTTTGGGTAAAACCTTCCCGAGGGTGGCGTGAGCCCGTTGCACAGATGGGGGAACTGAGGCCAGAGCGGCAAGGGAACAGCTAGGACGCGGGGCCAGTAGATCAGAAAGCGGGTGGAAACAAAGTTCAAGCTGTTTTCCCAGTCAGCCGCACAGTTTAACGGGACTTTATGGAGACGTTGGAAGTATGTGCAGCCTGACTGTCGTGGCCTTCTCACGCTGGGCGTCCCCTGGTGGGACGCGTTGCCCGGGAGCCCTTCCCCGCGGCCCCAGCAGCCCCAGCAGCTCTGACTGTCGCCGACCCTGGGTTGTTGAAGTGGTGCTTTCGGGAACCTGTTCGGTGCAGATGCAGCGGAGTGCGGCTTCAGATTCGCCTGGGCGGCTGGTTGAAATGCCAGTTTAGAGCACTTGCTTGGCCGCATGGAATTAAACACCGCGGGAGCTCGGACCGCAGAATCTGTCTAGTACTCGTCCCGAGTGTCCCTGAGGGCCTCTAAGGTTTGAAAATTCTGGGTATTGGAGCTTTTTAAACATACGTAGTACAAGAGTCCTACTTCTAATGACCCAGTTTAAAATGACCCAGATAATCGCAGTGTGACTTTAAACCCAGTGGCCCATATGAATGTGTGCAGGCTGTACCTTATCTTTAACTCCTTATAGTTTTCTTTATCTTTGTGGACTTACGGGAAACTGAATTTCCAGGTTAGCCTCAAACACTTGTATTGTCTAGTGGTGGGTAAAGAGGAATTGTTTCTTGATACTACAAAGATTTACCTAATAGTAATGATAAATCCTTAATCCTAAAGATTCCTTTTAACTTCTTAACCATGGGGTGGATTTTGTTTTCTTTATGCGGTCCCTGGTGTCCTTAACTCTTTTCAGACTTTGCATGCAGCCAGCAGTTTATGTTTCTGTTTTATTTCTCTAGGTTAGAAGAATATCGTTTAACAGCATCTTCCTTAATACTGTCAGTTTATTATTTCTAAGTTTATGTTCACGTTTTTCGGTAAATATTTGAGACTAGCGGAGTACATATTTTACGACTCAATAAAATTGTGCTGCTGAGAGAGGTACTGACATGAAAGGAGTAGTGTTTGCCTTTTACTTCCTTTGCTGGTCGCAGTTGTCAAAGGTGATGGGATAGTGGAATGAACGATAGAATCTTCTAGAAGTTGTATTTGTAGACTAAATTTCAAACATATTAAAGTGTATAAGCAGAGACGGAAAAATTACCATTTTCTTTAGGAATGCTTGTACTGAGAAAATTTGGTTCAAATAAGGATTTTATTCTTTAAAACGTTAAATAGTGGAGAGAATTACTGATAAGCTCAGCCAGTTAATCCTTAAGAGTTTTAGCTAAGTTAATGGAAGGCTTTTCTGTAAAATGGAAGGGTTAGAGATGATCAAAATAGTCTTTACGACTCTAGAATTCAGAAAGCATCTTTCCTTCTACACTGTGGAATTATTCTACTATTGGTATTTTGTTGCTTATTTAGAATAGAGGTACTCAGTCATTGAAATGGGTTCATAAGTAGAATCTAAGTGTTACAGCCAAGTGACATGGTATGGCTATATTAGCTGAGCAGTTGTATATATTATGATAGTTCACAGTTGCATCATTTATTTGGGCGATTCATAAACTCTTTGAAAAAGCAACTACAGGGTAGGAGGCCTGACAGGAAGTTGCTGAGGCACTGGAACAATTCTCTAGTCTTGTCATTCTATTTTCAGCCTGTAGTTTGAAACAATCACTAGGCACAGATTTCAAGGCTGTGTCACTGAATGATCTTTTCAAACCTATAAACCTATAATTTGACACATTTTCATAAAGCTCTTTATTTCATTTTCTGTTCAACAAAGAACGATTGAGAACCCTGATTTTTTAAGTGTTTTCAAACTCTGAGTCAGTACTGTATTAGAAGAAATGTTAAAGCTTCTCAATCCAATCATTTTATTTTTGCAAATGAAGAGATTGAGATTTTGAGTTTTGGTGACTTCCCTGAGGTTAAATGTGGAGTAGAATCTGGCATAGAATACAGAGGTATGCTTAAAATCAGTCACCACAATAAGCATAGATAAGGTACTGTTTATTTTTTTGGTAGCACTGTGTCCATAATAGTTTAGCTTTTTTTTCCCTCTGTGAGTTATATTAAGACAAACATGAGCTTGATTAAAATTTAAATAAAAATTTCTGTACACTTATAAGAAAGTTTCTTTTTCTTTCTTTCTTCCTTTCCTTTTCTTTTCTTTTTTTTCTTTCTTCTTTCTTTTTCTTTTGTTTGCAGTGCTGGGGAATCAAACTTAGGGTCTGTGCATGCTCCTCAAGAGCTCTACCAGTCAGCTACATATTCAGCCCTGTCAGAAAGTTTAACATTTGCTTTGGCTTCCACCTTGTCACAGGAACCTGTAGGAAGGCTGCAGATTCCATGGTGTGCTAGATAGATGCTTGGTTATACAGGACAAAGTTAAACTTTTTGGTAAAGCACTTACATGGGAGGAGTGCCTGAGTTCACAGATAATGTATCTAAGAACCAGTCTAGTAAAATGTGCTTTTATCTTGTATGAAAAACTGTTATATATTGGGTGGGCAAACCAAATTCTTAACTACTTTCTGTCATTAAACTCTGCTTAGCAGTAATCATATGTGGTTGATGTTTTCTTTTCTCATTTCGGTATGGCTATTGATAATCTCGGCATGCTTATCAGGCTGTGGCAGTGTGGTCCCTCTGTTTATTTTGAATTTCTTTCTCTTAAATGAGGCTAATTAACATATTTTTCAATCCCTTCTTACGGAAAGAAGTGCAGAATGAATTTTGTTGTGTGAAGTGTTTTCTTCTAGAAACATTAATGCAAACTTGACCTACAGTCATATTACTGCCTTTTGTTTTCATTCATTCAAATTTTCATTCTTTCTTTCCCCCATTTCTCCCCTTCACCTCCTTTCTTGCCTTCTTCCCCACCTACCACCTTCATATCCTGCCAATAATTGAAGCTGACCTTTGGCTTGGCATTACTTTGGTTGCTGCTGAGATCTTTTCTTTAAATCTGCCCCACTGTTGGGGACATACAGCTGCATCAGAAGTTATGTAGTTAATGAGAGTAGGCTGTAGGACATGGGAGCCAGACTTTGAAGGAGGGCTCTAGGGTTCAGACTGCATCAGAGGTTATGTAGTTAATGAGATTAGGCTGTAGGACATGGAGCCAGACTTTTATATACTATGCAAAGAAGCTGCTAATTTGATTAAAAGTATATTCAAGCTGTCAAAATCATAATTAACTGGCTATTTTACAGGCATTCTAGCAGTTTCTGATTTATTGGTTACTTTATAAAAACTTATATTCTGCTAATAGTATTAGGAACTAAGTATTGAATGTTGGGATTGTATTCTAGACAGTATTCATGCTTTACATGAATTATCTTATTTAACTCTCACACTTGCAGGGAGGCTATATTTGATTTGCTTTAGAAATGAGGAGATTGAAGTTCAGGAAAGTTAGTAGTAGAGCTGCAACTGGAACTAGATTTGTCTAACTTCAGAGTGGTTTATACATACTACACTCTCAGAACCACATAGGAGTTGAATAAGATCCTGTCATTTCTTTTAACATTGTCATCTTTGCTTACCACTGTGCCTGATTACATAATGGATACTTAATAAATATTAAATAAGTGGATGATTGAATCTTAACTGGAATCACAGACATAATCATTTATTTTTTGGAAAAAAAAAAAAAAAAGAACAGTGCAGTAAAAGTTTTATAATTTATGGCGAGGCGCTTACCAGACCTACCTGTAAGTTTTTAAGCCTTGAGACAAGAACAGAGAGATTTGCAAGTTATAGTCTTAAGTGTGGGATTTTCGGCCTTTACATTGTCAGTGTTTTAGATTGGATAATATTTTGATGGTTGGTGTGTCAGCAGAAGGTTGGCCTATGTACTGTAGGATGTCTAGCAGCATTCTTGGCCTCTACCCACTTTAAAAGCCAATAGTTCCCCCCACTGCAGTTTCCCCCAAAATTGATAGAACCAAAAATGTTTCCAGACATTCCCAAAAGTCTGCTGGGGCACACAACTATACCTGGTTGAGAAACCTGGTCTAAATATTGAAATCTTACAAGTCGTCTGTATTCACAGACTGGCCTGTTTTCCTATCCAGGATCCTCAGCATTCTCAATCCAGAGGCCCAAGTACCCTGCAAGTCAGCAGTGATCTGACCCTAGACTCAAATTGACCCCGTTGGGTTTCTTCTTTGTAGCGCCTAAAAGTGTACCATCTGAGTAGTTGGGCAGACAGGAAGAGGGGGCTGGTTTTCTGGGACTTAATCCCCATAAATTGAGGGGTAACTTTACACAAAAACAGGTAGAAACGTCTTTCCTTAGTATCACCACCCCGTCCTTCACCCTACCCACATACCCCTATAAAAGAAAGAAAAATCCTTGTTTTGGTACGGAGAACCCTTTTCTTATAAGTTAGTAAAATTGCTAGTTCTTAGCCTAAAGCCATGTTTTACCCATTATATAGTACTAGTCTGGTTAGTCATTTTCAGTGTTCCTGTGAGACTGGACAAGTGCAATTCTGTGTAGGTCATATTTTCCCTTTTACATATTTATTTAATGTTGTCTACCTTTATATATAACATGGTTCTAATTTTTATTAAGGAATCATTACTCAGATATTTTCATCATACCTTTGAATCATATTCTACTTCTGTCTGAACAGTATTTCCTTTAGAGGCTTCATTTTTATATAGAGGAGCCCTCTCTCCTGGAGGAACCCTGTGTAGGAAGTGAATACCTCTGTTATAATTTGGGGTATTTTTGCAAGGGGAATAATATAATATAGGACACATATTTTATAAGATTATTTATAATAGTCACCCAAAGAGTCATATACAAAAGAGTGCAGTAAATCTGTCCACACACTAAAGACCAAAGAATCCAGCTGAGGGCCTGGATCCCACGCCAGTGTCCTGCATGAGTCCAGCTAAAGAGCTAGAGCCCATAACAATGCTCCCACGAGTCTAGCTGGAGGTCTAGAACCCATGACAATGTCTCATGCAGGCCTGTTTTACGGATCTGTTCTGGGAAGGCCCAGAGGTCAGTGATGGAAGCTAGAAAGTCTGTGCCCTTGACATGAAGGATCTTTGCTACCAGGCTGAGGGATGTCAGCTGGAGCCAGGAAGAGACACTCAAAGTAAACAGATCTCCCCTGAAGAAAAGTACCACAGCCATCCTCAGCAACAGTGAGGATGCTGAGCTCTTCCAATGATGAGGAAATCTGAGTTCCTGTCAGGAAAGCCAGTGACAGGCTTCTCCAAGACCTGAGTGGTGTACCATCTTCTGCTTCAGAGCCAGGAAGCAGTGCTCATAGTGAGGTCCAGAGTTCCCCCAAAGTGAACCAGAGCTATTCTCAGCAACATGGTCCCAACCCCCTGGACAATGAGAACAGCAGAGTTCATTAGGAAAGCCAGCATGACAAGCTCCTCCACGTAGACCAAG